TTTTTAGAACAAACAATATTACTTATGACTTTTGTTAGATACTGTAAAAAAGTATCCATATATTACGAGGTAGGAATGAGTGATGGAGACCTTGAGACGATTTAACTATTTATACACAAACTTGTATAATACTATCGAAATTATTTTGACTGGTCTAAATTCATGGTTTGAGATTTTGGCCTATAGAATTTAACTCATTTTAGAAGAGGTGAAGTTTAAATCTGACTACTCGTATTCGCCTTCAAGTGCACTTTTGAGGCTATTTCATAATTAATGTTAGATAATACTGACAACATTGCAATATGAATGTTTACTGGATATAAACCGCATTTAATGTCATAACAATAATAATAAGGCATACAATTTCGATACAATTGTAGGGTCAAATTATTGTTATCGTTACCTTGTTTAAATTATTGTAACGTGTTAACAATAGACTTTTTTCTCTCTAAAAGAATGTTACTTATTCTGCCAATCACTCAAATGAGTACAGACGTTCCTTTATAACTTAATTAAAATCTGGCTACGTATTATGTATGTAAGTATACATATCATGCCAAATAGTTTCATTTATATACTATAATTTTCATTCATAATTAATACAAAATAATGACACTTCTTTCCTAAAAGCAAGACTAAACTGAAAGAGTAATATCCTTATAAATAGTTTAAATATCTCGAAGTACTACTCAAACGCATAATGTTAAACCATTTTTATTATAATAATCATTATTTTCAGTAGTACGCACACTGAATACCGACTTACAAACTTCTCGATTTTATGAAAGATATATCATCTACTTTTAGAATACAAGGTAGTAGTCGAGATCAGACCATGTCAGTCATGTGAAAAGTCATTTATAAATTAAATGTAAAGGAAATTATACCCTGTGCTCTACTGTTTAAGTGTAAGACTCATAGAGAAAACTATTTATTATTAGTGTGCTGGTAGAACGGAGTTTGAGTGATTGATACATGAGTTACTTGAAACATTAACAACTAGTCATAGTCTGCTCGTGTAGTCATGTGTATTAATACATGTACGCACACTCACACCCAGACAAACGAAACATACATGGACATCAAGAAACAAGTAACCTTGAGATAATACATCACATGGTTTGGTAGAAAATGGATCAATACACAATACGTTTAAGTGCTTTTTAATTCTACTTCCTATTCGTCTACTTCATCAAGAAATTATGATTTGATTTTATATGAATGATTAAATATTGATTGACTGTTTTCTTTTATAAAGGAAAGTGTATGATTCTTAAAATGACAAATATTTGCAATACTGAGAATAAACTATATCCATTTTTTTATCATTTATTATTCTCATGTCTGATGTAATATGGTGATCTAACAGTAATATGTTAATCGATATACCTTTTGTCTATTCAATGGAGTATCGTTTGAATGCACTGCCTTCTAAAATGTTCTTATTGTTATTTATGTCTAATTACACTAATCAATTTCTTGGTCATAATAAACTGAATTCATTATAAAGCGTCTAGCATGACTGCATAGAAGACCAAATGTTGACAAAATAGAAAACCACTGTTTCTTTTTTGGATATCTTACATCCAGTGGGAAATGATAAAAATACTACTAGTTGCACATTTGAGTGAATGAGTTTATGACGTAACTGTATAAGGATGTTATTATTAGAAACGGAAAATGCATCAGTGTAGATGGGAAAGCTACTCCTGATAAATTGTTTGAAGGTATGTAACATTAAGCATTTAATATTAAGATCTGTTTAGTTAAGAAATCGTGCACACGTAATCGGTAAGCTGATACGCTTTAATAATTACCATAGACATCTAAAAATCTTTTATTCGTTTAAATACAAGCTGTCATATTGAATACTAAATATTCAACAGTAATAACATTTTTCATATTATCATGTTCCGAGTATAAACTGATCCAACCAAAAATTTGTAGTTACATGGTCAGGAGACAAGAATACGAACATTTAAATTCATATCATTTATCTGTTTCATTGACAGTTTATATCTTCTAAAGGTGTGCTATCGATTTGTTAACATAAAATATTTCAAAAAATTTTATACTGACCTCTAAAATCTATCCGAGATCTGTAGGTTATGAAATAATATTGTGTAATAATCGAACGTTTGACCTAAATACTATAATCGGTGATATATATATATCATATTAAGCGTTCATAAAAGTAAGAAATAGTTTTAGTAGTGCATATGATCAGCCAAATCCTAATTAGCTATTTGAGCTGCTACCGGAGTGTATTATGAGAAGCAGCTAGGTTAATTTTTCGGAAAAGAGATATCTACTGTGATTCCATAAACGACAATATCTATATTTTACTTGAAAAAAAATAGGAAGAGAAATTCATGGACAGTACCTTTGAATGTCGTTACCGTTTCAAGTTAAAAACGTTCTGCATTCGATTGTGACTTTTGTTGCGATATATTTCATTCCTGTTTCCCTAAAATGTGAAGTGCCTGAGCAGAAATAAAGGGGAAGTTTTAAAAATGTGTAAATCAATGGAACATATAACTCCATCAGGTTAACAGCATTTAGTATTTCAAAATATGGAATATTAGGGATCAAAATAGAGACCAATACCATAGATTCATTCACTCTTACATTGACCCTCAATACAAGGCATCAAATCACAAGTACCATTCTTTCTTTGGTTTTCCACTGCCTTTTTTCCGGTTCTCCTTTATAATAATTAAAACCTGTTATTAACTAGTTCATTGTTTATATCGAACTTCTATACTGATGTACGTAAATGATGCTTAACTAGGATAAAGGATTTTATGCTCTGACTGACACTCAGGTTTCCTAATAGTGCCAAATTTTCCATTTCAATAGGATACTATAGTTTCTTTAGACATTAATTCATAAATGTTCAGAGTAATTACAGATCGTTTTTGAATAACGCGTAATTAAGTTTGGAATGCATAAAGTGTGTCTTTCAAATACTGTTTTAATCATGCTCTAGTCAAAACGAAGTTTGATGTACATTAGACTGATAGGTACTGTCGTTTGATTAATGATTTTTTTTGATGATGAAATGAATACGATTCATAGTATCATAAAATGCAAAAACCTAATCAGTTTGAAAATAAACTGTAGTGGTTGTGTACTTTGCTAATGTTTATGAGTAACCCAACAGTTATTTTATATAGTTAATACACAGTCAGCAGTATTAATAAACTACTAAATGTTCTAGTTAAGCTTATCAATTAGTGTATTACTATTAAATTTAGTCAACAAAAGTCATTAAAAATTTGAAAAACACCTCTGTTCAAATTAAAATGTAATCATGAGTAGTTATTTGTCGACTGATTTCCGTAATGAATTATATAATTTAAAGACAATGCTCATCATCAACCGATATCACTGAGCAATTTACTGAATGTGAAATGAGTAATGAATGACTGTATCATTTTAGTTTGCGGCTGTACGGTATCATACAGTCATCACTGAAAGTAGGATCTACTTCAGGACCTTCTGGCAAGATAAAGTACATAAGATATCGAGACAATATTTTTGATGTCAGTCGATTCGCTATATTTCGTGATCCCTAGCCCATGTCATCAAGGTATTTCGTACTATCCCTGATTAACTACAATTCAAAAGTCAAACCCTACATCCAGAAACTTGAAAACACATCATCAAGCTAATGAAGCATAAGTATAGGATAATTATATATTAAGATGCTTGTGGACAAATATTACATAAATTCTAATCAGACAATAATAATATGCTAAAGATTGGTTATAAACCTCTTAAACTTTGATGTGAAGTTACATGGTTCATCATCACTCTACAAATAGTAATAAAATTGAAGCAAAAGTACGTTTCATATCTGGTTGAAATAAGTGCATAAACACTGATCACTTGATAATAATAAACAACAAAGTAGCATCAGTTAACCCATCCAATATGACCATATCAAACAGTCTAAAGAGACTCATGTTTTTTGATTCAATTTGCAACTAGAATCGTTTCATAATCTAAAAGATAGTGCAATCATTAGCCTACTTAGATAGTGAATTAGAAAAAATAATGATCAGTTCTGATTGTCTAATAATCCTACTTGACCTGAAATAAGTTTGAAACATGAATATGAATGGTCAGGTGTTGGTGAAATCTAAATACTTCTACTTATTGATGCCGAAATAGGTACTTTTATTACTCATAGTTTGAACTGAACAGAACACAACTAATGATATCTACCTATGAGAAATCCAATCGTTGTTTATTTTTAAATTCATATTATTTAAGTTAAATTATCTCACTAAGGATATCAAGAACGTGCTTATGAAACCTGATCGCCATAAAGGATTGGATGATGAGAATAGTTTCTAAAAATGTATGACAATCAACCTTTTGATTTTAATCTCTAAATCCTGTGATTACATGATTGATACATACAGAAACTAATATTCGAATCATAATCTATCAATTTATTATTAGACATTGATAATAAACAGGATTCGATTTGATTTCTTGTTTTCAAGATTTCATTCTAACTGAATTACTTGATAACCTCTTTAAATATTTTGTTTTAGTTCAAATACCCCTGACAGTAATAGATTAGCTTACTCAACGATTATTTTTATGTACTACACTAAACTGTGTTATTCTCTAAACAAAATATTGATAAACAGCAAAAGAACTACATTATTATCAAATGATGGGCAAAGAAATTGTTACATAATTGAATACAAGATATTTTTATTGGAAAGGAACAAACAAACAATTTCTATCAGAAAACAAAAAAAAAATCTTTTTTTTTTACATAAAATAACTAACCAACTTGAAAACAAAAATTTTTTTTCTTGATTTTTATTTTTTTTCTTAGAAAATCAAAATATTGATGAATTATTTATTGTTCTAATCAATGATTGTACTTTATCATCAGACAGTCTATAAATGAATCCACTTTCCAAAGTAAAAGATCCAATTTTAATTATTTTTTTTTTATAAAAAAAGAATATTAAACAATGAAAAAATTCACTTTATCTTATTTAGTCGATAGTGATTCAAATAAAAGTGTGAACAGTTTAGCTAATATTTCCAATTCAAATATTGAAATGGATTTACCAAAAATTACAGAATTACATATCATTATTAAAGATTTAAATAAACAGGTATGTTTGTGAATTATTGTTAATTTATCAATTAAATATGTTTTTATAGACAACGTTAAAAGTAATTGGAGATGCAATTATTTTAGATATTAAAAAGAAACTTTTATTCACTCTTGGTGATTTATTAACTGATTCACAAAATATGGGTTTATACCTACCTGATGAACCAAGTCGTAAAGGAAAATTCCTAGAAGAAGAGCGTCTTTTATCGGAGTATATTAGTGGGAAAACGATTATTAGTTTAGAGGTATGAAAAAGAAGAATAAAATCAATCGAAAAACTGATTTCTCTTGTTTGTTTTAGTTTATTTACAAACGTCGAACAATTCCACCATTTTATATGTCACCAACATTATTGAGTAAACTCTCGAAGGTATCGCTTGCTTTAAATATTTATTGATGCCTATATTTATACATAGAACTTCATCAAAACATTTTTTCGTTACGTGTCTCGTGGAGAATGTCAAAAAGTAGAGAAATTACTGTCTAAAGGATTTGATCCAAATATCCATTGTCCAAAGACTGGAGGTAAACTGCTGTTTTTTTGGTCAAACAAAATGCGCCTTTAAATTTTAGAAACTCCATTGACAATAGCTGTTACACGGTCAAAACCTCATGAAATGATATCAACATTAATCTCCGGTGGGGCACATCGTGATTTTTATTCACTGGCCGGTTATACACCATTACATAAAGCTGTAACCGTTGGAAATTTTGAAGGGGTTAAGGTAAGTTAATCATGAATGTTTTTAAATGACATGTAATGGTATAAAAGGAATGAACTAAAACACTTCACTTTCTGCTGCAACACTAGATTTTTAAGCATCAATGGTTTTGTGTGCTAAAAAGCTGCGAGTTTATAACAACTCTGTCATAACCACATGCTGAGTTCTATTGCACAAACATATATTATAACGTGATGGTGAATACTACTAGAATAGCTGAACACTGTTGCATTTATCTCTTCAAGTTTAAGGGTTTGTTTTGAGCATTAAAGGAGTTGAGTAAAACGCCTGAAAATCTCGGTAACATTAAACCAGTGATTTGAATTATCTGAAGAATTGAGGTTTTATTACCTAATCTGAAACGACACTACTGTTTGTTAGGGTTACAACTGATTTTCCCTGTCCATCAAAATTTATAAGTTAGCTTTAGTATAAATCATGCGATCAGTAGTTCATCTCAAAAGTATGATTTATGAATTTATTTGTACTTTTATTTTCATCCATACTTCTAAGAACTGGTCTGTCAAATAATATCCTGAAACGTCAGCCAGTGGTAGTTACATGTAATGGTATGAACAAACCGAACTTGAAAATACGAACCATTTGATTCCACTTCAGTCAACCAGTCATAAGCAATGTAGAACTTGATACATATGTTCATCGGCCGACGTTTTCAGCCCACATCAGCGAAATGAGATGTAATTTTCAACACGAATAAAAGAATTGTAGAATTAGTAGCTGTATCAGTGATTGTTAGAAGCACATAAGGCACAGGGAATTCACTCTTAGGAAAGGAAATGAACTTGTGTAATCTAAAATGTAAATTATAAGGAAGAATTAAGAGTGGTGGAGAAATTATCATGCTGACGGTTTGGTTTGAAATTTTTAGGTTTGAATGTGTGATAGCACTGTTCTAAAGAATATTATACTGTAAAAGACGATTATTTAATAGTTCCTGATGTTTATCAGCTCGAGTCATGGTCAGCTTATAATGAAAACTAAATCCACACTATGAAATCTCCTCATAGCTATATAAACACTGTTTTAAATTATTTGCAGACATTACTGGACTTCGGGCAATCACCAAATTGCTTAGATAGATATGGCTTGACTCCACTGTATTACAACATACTTTATGATCCGGATACAAAAATATGCCATAGTTTACTGTATGAACATTCAAAAATTGGCATCATCGATAAAGATGGCTTACAAGAAATACATCAGGTAATTGTTATTAATAAATATATATTCTTAAAATATTTTCTGTTTTGCTTTATCAGTATATTTCATACAACATTTTGTCTACAAAATTATAGTATAACAGGGAAATGTTTTAAACCTAGTGAATTGATATCTCATATTAAGTGGTGATTCATTTCTGTAGGTTGACCAATGTACATAATTATTTAAAAAAAAGATCTAGAATTAAAACTTACTATTGTTAGTCTATAGGGTCTATCTAAATTGTTGATAAATAGTTATTGTATTAAAAAGTGGAGACATTCATAAATGGATACAAGTCATATGATAAATAAATTCAGCTATTTAAAAAACAAAGACAACCACTTGAAATCTGTTTAGCCCTAGGTTCAAGTTATTTATTCGTGTACAAGCAAAAATCCAAATAAACTCAAAACCGGGCCTCTCTAATAGTACAATATTATTGGACTGCTCGGAAAGGAACGAAATAATGTAAACCTGCACAATTTATTTTTAATTAATTTTAAAAGTGAAAATAAAAGGATTTACTTTTAAATACTGTGTATTAGTACTATTTATGTATTATTCAGGCTTGAGTTATAAAGCTAACTGATGTCTATTTAAACATTCTATGAATTATTATTTAACACCATTCATTCATATGCAACAAGCTACAATATCAGTGATGAATCATTATAAATATTCTTTTTCTTTTCTCAATCAAATCATTTCCCAAGATAGTTTACATCACGAACAACAATTGAAAATTCATTCTATAATCACAAAACAGTAATGATATCGTGCTTAGAACCAGTCTTAATTTTATTTCTAATATGGATTAAATAATAGACATTGATAATATCTACCAAACGACTTTTTAATGCTTCTCCACTTTTTTTTTAAAAAGAGATTTATAATTGTGTCTAATTGATACCCTTTTCAAAATAAAGATTACCTTTCACTTATTTATCAATCAATGGGTGACAATGGGAAAAAAGATCAGTATTTGACTTGTTTCTCATCAAATATTCAAAATAACAGAAATAAATTTTTATTCTAAATAACAATTCAACAAAACATTAAGAAGCAAAATATGAACTTAAAAGTAATTTACCAATTTAACAACAAACAAAAGCAAAAGACAAATTGAATAACACCTATTAAATTGAGAATTGAACTAAGAAAATTGGAAAATAAAATCAATAATCATGATTCTTTTTTTCTGATAAACGTTACATATAAAGACCTTCAAAAACTCTAAGGTGAACTGTTTATATTATACAATATAAAATATAAATGTATGGAATAATTAAGTTAATTATAAATGTAACCAGTTTGTACGGTGATATATATATATATATATATATATATATATATATATATATATATATATATATATTGTATAGATTTATATTCTCTACGGTTGTTTGGTATCTTGACTATAAAGAACAGAGTAATTTGATTTCTTTAAATTTAAAGTCAATGTCGTTTTTTTTCATTTATTCCCTTGTTTAATTGGAACATTCAATGTTGAAAAATACATTAAAAGAATAAATATTGGAACTTATAATAATAGGCTTGAATTTCATTATATCTTTCTAGTATATAACCCTAAAAACGATCGACTTATATTTCTAAAAACAAAATTTAATGACTTTTATGAGTTTTACAATCACATATTGGTATAAGTTGAGAGTTGCATTCTATAAACAAATTAGTATCATTAAAATAACCAATAGTGTCATTGAATAAGAAAAAGAGAATTCAACAAAGAAATTTTTCTTTTCGACAAAATCATTTACTTAAGCTGTACATTCGTATATATAGTTATTTGGAAAATCTATGTCTGTTGAAGGATAGAAAAAATTGCATCATCAAAATAGATTCGAGGAAAAGAACAAATGGGGTTACGTACTAATCAAGGGGTAAGGAAGAAAATCGTTTATAGGTCAGCTAATAGTTCAATTGACAGATGAAGAAAAGCGACAAACACAAAGGTCATAATAATAGACTGAATAATAATCAAGGTAATAATAATACTGATAATAATAATAATAACTGATTAGAGTTTAAAATGCAAAATAGTAATTTTAAAAATTCGATAATAATCAAATAAAAGTGCAGAAAAAAACAAAACAAAAAAAAACAGAAACATACCCATTAAGGGAATTAGGGCCAAGAAAGGATGAGAGGTTGGACAAAGCGTTTCTACACGCAAAGTTCGGGCTTGAGTTCGTGGATCGCCAGTGCCTCAGAAGTGCATAAAATATTGATTCGGCACCCCTTCGATCCAATTCCTTTGACTCTGTAGATCACATTAAAAGAAGAATTCTTGGGAGCAGTGTGTCCAAAATCGATTAAATGTCCTTATATAGAACTAGTGATTGTCTTACAGTCTCCTTTTGAAAGCCAAGTCGGATAGTGTTCCGAGATACGAATGTACAGCTTATGTAAATGATTCGGTCGAAAAGAAAGTTTTCTTCGCTGAATTCTCTTTTTTTATTCAAATTAGTATCACTCATTGTACTCCACTGACCTTCTTGTAAATAAAAAAAGGAATGATGTATGCAAAAGGAACTCGTTGTTTATGGCAAGTTTTGGAGCATTTCAATGTTATTTGTGGTGGTACTATAGTGCCTAAAGATGCACAGTGATGCATGAAATAAGAGTCAAGGATTTACCCATCAAAATATGCTTTGATAAAATTTGATAGTTATTATCAAAGTCACTTAGTATAGCTGCTTACTATACAAATGATTGGTGAGTGAGTATTGACCACTGTCATGCATATCAAGTCATTCATAGTCCCGGTTGAATTCTACCGACCAAGCGCAAATGTGGCTAATAATTTGAGTAACTTAATATCGCATTCACTATTTTGAGATGTAAGGTGGTGGTTTGTGACTGTCAGCTATGCATCCCAAACCTAGGTTTCATGCTATTTGGCATACATCAGAAAAAATAGAAACCACCATCGAGCATCAATTCCCTCAATGTTGCAGGTACACCTTGTTGAAGAGCATAAATACTAGGTCCAGGGATTCCTGTCAAGGTCCTACGACCACCACCATAGCTGTCTAATGCTGTTTTAAACTTTTTGCTTTGTTAATATTAATGTTTAATAAAGCGTACGCTTGAATCCAAGTTTGACTTACTTCACATCGAATTAGTATTACGCACATAAAATCATTCACTTATTTAGAAGAAAACACATGAAATAAGTTCTGATTTACTACATGTTCAGGCATAAAGTTCCTCTGTTGATATTCATTATAAACTTCAGATATTCACTTTTTTTTTCAATGTTATGCGCTTAATTCTTTACAAAAATTGTTGTTAACAATACATTACCGATTATTTTCATTATTGGTTTATGATAAATACCATTAATTACGTTTTTCTAAACACTCAATATTTACACAAACATGAAAAAGATTGTTTTCTTTCTAAGGACTTGTCGGTCAAGTGACAATTTCATTATTATTATCATTATTATTATTATTATCGTAATAACTAGCGAGATTACACTAAGATAGATGTCTTTATAAGTATACGTTTGTTCACATGCAACACTGTAGTGCTTGGGTTGTCGACTTTTGTCTGACGAATGACTTAGGAAAAGTCAAGATAACAGTAATTGTAATTGAAAGGAAGCTAAACCATAATAATTCTGAATTAGATATCTTTAGTATAGGCTTTATAGGTTTTCAAATTTGTAGTTAACATTGTTGACTGACCATAATCAGACAACCAACAGGAAGACCTAGAAAGCTGTTTCACTCTACTATATCATTTCTTAGAATTGCACATTTGTAACCTATAAGGATTCAAACTCATATTTCTCAGGCCTTGTGACAGAATCATGACTTTTACACCACTTAGTTAGTATCGAAATATATCAAGCTTTTGTTACTCTTGAAAATATTGTTCTTTTTACAATTGGTTAAAAGCCTGGAAATAGTATGAATTTATTTTACTCTACAAATTTTATTCTTCTAGTTTGTCTTTGTTTTTAGTATTTTTTATAATTTTTTAAAAAAAATTGATTTGAGAACCAAGTTGTATGAAATAAGTGAAGGTTGGTTACAGACTGACAAAACAGTAGTCTAAAATAATAAACGTATTGTCTTTTTATTAATAACATAGATATCTAATAATTAATGCGTCTAATAACATAATAAAATCTACTCAGTTTATGTATAAAATAAAATAATCAAGTTTCTTTTGAATAAGCTAATTTTACTACATAATAAAATGATGTTTATTCATGCCAATTTTAACACAGGCTATTGATTTTTCTAATTCACATATTCTAATTATGTCATACTCTTAATATGGATAACTCATTATAAGCATATTATGTCTTTTAAACGTAATGATAATAATAATAATAATAATAACAGAAAAGCAAAATTTGAGTACCCACAAATCTAGAACAATTTTGCTGTTGTTGATTTCATATTCACAATTGTTAACTGTGTGTGCGTGAGTACATGAAGTTGTGTGTGTGTGTGTGTGTCTGTCTGTCTATCTATCTATCTTATTGTTTATTTGTTTACATATATTCAAATTCCTTCTAATGTGTAATTCTTTTATTGATTACTGAAATCAAAGTTGTGTTTCTTATATTCTTTAAATTTTTTATCATAATAAAGCTCATTGAAATTAACAGATCATTATTTTATAACTAAGAGATTAAATAATGCAAACAATATTTTTGAATCTTCAGAACAAGTCTTTTGAAATGTTCAAAATAATTGACAAAATAACATATAATAAACATTTCCATAAATAATATGAAATGAGTTTAGTTAATGCACATAGATTCTAGCGTAAAAATTAAATAAATCACCTATTCAAACTAGGAAAACTATTGAACAATTTTTGAAACTTTTTAAACGAATGTAAAAACTGACACCATTTGTTACTTTACTAATCATTTACTACAGTTTATTTGGTTGTTACGTAATACAAAAGAAGATTTTAACTTAGGAAATAATTTCAGTTGTAGTTTATGTTGTAAT